ACACAGTGCCTCCCTCAGTCCTCACAGCAGCTGTAGGAAGCTCATCCTATGCATTTCAGTGATGGGAAGCTGAGGCATGGAGTTCATAAGCCATAGAGATGGAACCTCACCCTTCCTCCAGTACCTGGAACAGTGCCCACTCTGTGACAGACATTTAGTAAACATTTGGGGAGTGGATGAACAAATTAAGAACTGAGGTGTGTCTAAATCATATCTGGAACCTTCCAATTCCTGACAGTTGCTATAATCTAGGAAACAAGACTCAGAAGGAAAAGCAAATCTGCAGCAATAGCAATCTCTGCTGCACTATCCAAGCACAGTCTGCATGACTAAGACACACAGGGCTTGGACTGTGACCTGTTTAGTGGTCACTGTTCTGCCAGTATATCCTAAAATCTCAGCCAGGCCCTGGGCAGGATGCTGGACCCTCCCACTGGTTTCCAAGTCCCATAGTGCTTCTTAGTTTCATTTCTCAAACTGTCCAGTGTTTGGAATGGTGTTGCTAGGCAACAAGCCAGCCTGCCTCACTGAGACTAAGAATCCCTTCCCACGATATCAAGGGAAAAACAGACTGCTTAGTAAGGCCAGTGACCAACAAAGTGTATTTTTCTTGCCCTCTCTGTCATGGCTCAACATCAAAAGTGACAAAGGAACGAGCAACTCAAGTTGCTTGTCTCCCATCTTTCTCTGACAACTACTCTGAGCCCCAGGAAAGAAAAGGAAGGCAGTGGTAAGGATTCAAAAGCCATGTAAATATCTGTGGCTAAGCAACAATAGCAAAGGAGAAACAGTCTCTAGTTAGCAGTATATTCCCTTCTAATGTAGACGGACTCCCCTTGTCCCCTCCAAAAGCCATGGGTAAGGCATGACTATGGTGATAGCCTTACAGGAAGCTATGTGCACATCACCACTGCGTCCCACCCCCCAACTGGACTGTTGAAATACGGCACCAGCCCTGGACACCCACAACTGAGATGCAAAACCCCAAGGTTTCTGCAAGGGGAGGGGAGAACAGACAGCAAGAACAGAGGAAAGGCTATGGCGCCCCCTGGTGCTAAAGGGCTGTCCACCAACAACAGAGAGGAAGACTTAGCTCCCAAATAAAGAAATTAATTCAAGAGTAGAGAAAAGCAGCTGTTACAAAGGTGCTGGGCACAACAATGAGTGTCCACTGGTGGATTCCCACTACATTCGGGTCCTCATGAAAGACATATGGCTCCAGGAAGCCGCGTGCTCAGTGTGTCTCTGCAGCTCCAGACTCGGACCACCCGTTCTGGGCAGGTCTACAGGTGCTGAGCCTTCCACCCTTGCAGCTGCCACAACATCTTCACACAGGGGTGACAGGGCTGAAGAGACAGCAGACACCCACAGGAGTAGTGAGCAGCCCCAGAGTCATCATTTCGTTCAAATAGGTTCGTTCTTTTCCTAAGCTTTTCAGCAGACAGTCAGTATCCCTGACCCTACCCCACAAGGATACTGGATACGCAAAGAGCCTGCTGTCATTGGCCTAACCACAGTTATGCTTTGCCAAAGGCACTCTCATGCCAGGCAGGGAAATCCAGGCTCTCCTGGCATGGCCACACATTCCCTTGGGGTTGAAATCACCTCAACTAAGAAACATATCTGTTCAAGTGTATAGAGAAGATTATGGGTAAACATCCAGGAAAGGAGCTTCAGAGGCTTGTAATGGTGAGGATACCTCCATTAGAACAGAAAATCATGTCTTCCCATTTAGAGGCCTAGACACTGTGTTTGGAATAATTATCCAGCAATGAATCCTTTAAGAGTACTAACAGTCTCACCTACAAGTTACTGAACACTTAACATGTGCACCTCGGAGATACATTTTCCCAATCTGTCTTTTCAAAATGTAATTCACACACTCTTCTGAGTATGTTTCTTGTATGTATGCATTTAACCCTCACAAACTTACCAGAGAAGTAAGCACCATTGCTAGCCCTGGTTTACAGACTAACACCAACACAGAACTTGATTTGAAGCCAGTGAGTGAGGTGCCAGAGTGCCCCCTGGTGGTGAGGGTGCTGCAATGCCGCTTACAGCCATCAACAGGGAGAAACAGTGCTTTCTTAAAACACAGCTCACATCACATATTCCAACGAAAAACATTAATTCAAATGTACAGACACTCAGCTGTTAAACAGGAGGTGAATGAAGTAAAGCTGACATAAACATCAAGAAATATCTACTAAGTAGTAGGAAAACACCCAGTCTGGGTGGCTTTTCCAATAGGCAGACAGCCACAACCTTAAGTGCCTGCTAGTGAGGTACCAACATTCAGTGTGCTTTCCACAGGCTGAGCATCTCCCATAGGCCTTACTTTCTGTGTGTGTGCACATGCATGTGTTTAGCGTGCAGTATGTGTATATATGTATGTGCAAGCATGCAGTGGCTACTCTCAAGTCACTGGCATTCACGGATTCACAAGGCATACTCCAGTGGCCTTCATTATCTGGCTGTGCTCAACACGAAGACACAATTATGACACTTGCCTTTTACAAAGAAAGGCAGCATTTCAAAACCCTGCAAACTCAGCCAAGACCATCAGAGTTCTGCTGCTTTCCAAGCTAGTGACCACAGTCACCTATGTGAGCCGAGGTGTGAAGAGCTGGGGACCAGGCTGGGACTACAGCTTAGTTGCTGGGACTTGCACCAGGCCCTGGACTTCAGCCCCAGCACTGGGAATATACATACAAATACACACACACACACACACACACACACACACACACACACAGAGGCTGTAGGCCAGGACAAGCGTGCTTATCTACACTGCCCTATCAAGGTCTCTCATCTCAATGACCGCTACCCACTGAGCACAGAAGACTGTAGCAGGAGATGAAGACACCTTTCTTTGGCATCACAGTAACTACCAAGACCAAACAAGTCAACACAGGCACACAGACTCAGCAGATGGTTCCGTCCTGCTGCCAATGAGAACTCAAGGACCAGGACAGTCACATGGAATCCTGGCTGGAACAACCAAGAAGAGGCGATATTGAGGATCAGCCACAATCAAGTCCAGAGACAACACTCACAAGCACACAGGAAATAAAGCATTTGCCGAAGCTTCCCAGTCTGTAATCCTCTGTTCCATCAGATGAATCCTGTAGGGCTACACAGATGGCCCTTCATATTGCTCTCACAGACAAAGCAAGGGTGAGTGGAGGCAGGTAATGTCCACCACATTTCTGAAAGAGCCATAATTCTTATCTTGCAGGAGCAGAGTGGACAAGAAAAGCCTTCCCACATGAAATCATCCCCAGAAAACAAAAACTATCCACCACCCACCCACCCACCCAACAACTGTTACACACAGCCCATATAACTACCAGACACCCAGAGTAAAACAGTCCACTAATGTGGGCCTTTCCTTCAGAAGGTCGGCTGGTAGTGCCTGACAGGCCTCAAGCCAAAGATGACCAGAAACAATTAGGATTAATCTCTAAAAAGGAGATGAATAAAAACAAGACAGGCTGTGTCCCTGCAGTAGGCCCAGCTTAGGGAGATCACAAAGACTGTCCTCATGGAAAAGGAACAGCCCAAGCTGGTGACTTTGTCAGGGATGGAAATGGCTTGGCAGCCCCCAAAGAACCCAATTCACCTGCTCCATACCCCACACTGGAGAGAGGCTGGGAAGGGCCCTAGGAACCATGCCTGGCCACTAGGAGAAGATGATAGCTCATCCTCACAGACTTCAGCATCTGCTCACCCACACATCAACGGAACACACGTTAGCAGTTCCTGCTCTGCAGCCAAGAGAGGGAGGGCACAGTAGCAGGAGACTGTGGGAAATCTCAGTTCATAGGGAACATGGCTGTGGAGAGTGTCCACATGCAAACAGAAAGGTCCAGATGTGAAGATATAGGTGACATGCCAAGGAGAGTGTGTATGTGCAAACAGAAAGGTCCAGATGTGGAGATCCAGGTGACATGCCA